GTGTATCTGTAGTTGTTGCTAAGTGCTATTGAAGCAGTTCCGACCCATAGTGACCCTGTATAGGGTTTCCAAGGAGCCACTGGTGAGCTTGAACTGCCTACCTTGCAGTTCAAATGGCTTTGCAGTCTGGCACATTAATCCACAACACCATACCAGGACTCTAAGTGTATATCTATTGTTGTTATGTGCCATGGAGTCGGTTCCGACTCATAGCGACCCTGTATAGGGCTTCCGAGCCTGTAACTCTTTAAGGGAGCAGAAAGCCTCATCTTTCTCCTGTGGAACAGCTGGTAGTTTTGAACTGCTGACCGTGAGATTAGCAGGCCGATTCGTAACCACTATGCTACCAGAGCTCCTTAAGTGTATCCAGATATATCCAAATACCTAGTGGGGTTGATTTACTGGGTTTGAAGGCTCAGGATCATAGTTTTGTAAGACAACTAAATCAACTGGCCATAACTTAGTTAATACTCTAGATCCTAGTTTGGTGAGTAGTGTCTGGGTTGTTAAAAGCTATGACGCAACTTGGTTTGTTATCATCTGATGCAAGGGAGAAGGTAAATCAGTACATGGGGTCTAATGACCTACACAAATCCAGCCTCTGATAGCCTGAGACCAGAGGGACTGGATGGTGCCCGGCTATCACTATAGACCACTCTGACCAGGAACACAATAGAAGATCCCAGTTGAAATGGGAGAAAAATCTAGAACAAAACTCAAATGCACAAAAACGGCCAGACTTACTGGACTGATCAAGACTAGTACAACCCCAAACTTATTGCCATAGACACCCTTTCAGCTTGGAACTGACGCTATTCCCAGGAGCTCTGGTAGTATAGTGGTTACGAATCAGGCTGCGAACCTCGAGTCAGCAGTTCAAAACTACCAGTTGTTCTGAGGGTGAAAGATGAGGCTTTCTGCTCCCATAAAGATTTACAGCCTCAGAAACCCTGTACAGGGTCGCTATGAATCAGAACCTACTCCACGGCACATAGCCACCACCACCACCTCTCAGCTAAAGTATGGACTGGCTTATGAAATAAACAATATTCATGAGGAATGTGCTCCTTTAAACAATTAACTCTACAAGGCCAAATGGTCAACATTGACCCGAGAGCAAAAATGAAAAGGCAAGAAGGGCAGGGCAAACGGATGGATGACAACAGGACAGGCTGGTGGGGGTGACGAGAGTGTGGGTATACCGTGGGTACTGCATCCAATGTCACAGAGTAATCTGTGTGCACATGGCTGAACTGGAATCTGATTTGCTGTGCAAACTTTCACCTAAAACATAGGAATTTATTTTTAAAAATAAAAAAAAATAGTGTCCAAAACTTTGACTGAATTACATTTAAACCCACAGTTTCAGAGGAAGAGTTCTCCTCAAATACCTTCACGGTTTATCAGAAATGATTTGAAATGATTTCAAATTATTCCCTGTTATGAACTGAAGTGTGTCTCACAACAGTAGATTTGTAACTCTAACCCCTGTACCTATGGCTAAGGAGCTTTGTTGACACAGTGGTGAAGCACTTGGCTGTTAACGGAATCTACCAGGAGAAAGATATGGAAGTATACTTCTATCAAAATTAGAGCCTTGGAAATGCTATGTTGGTGTGGTTAAGCGCTGTTGACTCAGTTCCGACTCATAGTGACCCTGTATAGGGTTACTGAGAAGCAGCTGGTGAGCTTGAACTGCCAACCTTGCAGTGGTCACACCAGCTCTAGAGCTGTTCCATTTTGTCCTCTAGGGTTTCTAGGACTAAAATTGGACTGGACTGGACAGATTTGCATTTGGTTTGATTGAGATGACAATCTTACTTGGGAAGAGGTTGTGTTTGTTATGTTCCTGTAGCAGGATTAGTGTCCAGTGTGTTTCCCATCAATCTCCTTTGAGAGGTCAAAGGTCAGATTTAGCAAGAAGAGGTGAGGAAGATAGACCCCATGCCACCTGGAGACCTCAAAGGATCTGAGGAAAAACCAAGGACCATCCCCCAGAACAGAGAGAGCCTTCCTCTAGAGTCCACACCCAAAATTCATATTTTTATGAATTTCCTAACTGTGAACAAATAAATTTCTGCTTGTTAAAGTCAAAAGATAAAAAGAATGAATGGATGGTGTTTTCTATGTTGGTTAATCTGTACTGTTACAAAAAGTTTCAATTTGTTTTTCTTTTTCAAATGAAATTCAATGTTGTTTTTTTCAGAAGCCTTTTGAAAGTTTGAATGTGTTTCTTCTTCTACAATACCTGGTGGTGGTGGTGGTTATGTGCCATGGAGTCGATTCCAACTCATAGCGACCCTGTATAGGATTTCCGAGGCTATAAATCTTTACAGGAGCAGAAAACCTTATTTTCTTCCCGTGGAACAGCTGGTAGTTTTGAACTGCTATCTCTGAGATTAGCAGCCCGATTCGTAACCACTATGCTACCAGAGCACCTGGAACTCAATCCACCCACTCTCATCCAATCGATTCCAACTCATAATAACCCTCAAGGGCACAGTAGACTAAATGTTTATGAGAGCAGACAGCTTCATCTTTTCCTGTGGAGCGGCTAGTGGGTTTGAACTGCTGACCTTTCAGTTAGCAGTTCAAAGCCTGACTCACTGTGCCACCATAGCTCCTTGTACCTCACGTAATGCTATCTATAAGAAGGTACAAAATACGTACTTTCTAACAAATGATCACACTAATCTTGTGATAAAAATGATGAAAATCTATTAGGGAACTGAAGAGAAACACAAATTCAAGCAAATGCTCTCAGACTGCCTCATAGCTGTAGCAGCATACCTTCCCCTCTCAACACAGTCCAGGGAAACCCGTGAGAGGCAGAGCTCCAGGACAGGGCCTTGTCTGGGGGCTCACAAGTTTTCCGCCTTTGACAGGGTACAGTCTCACCACATTTCAATCACTCTCTATTGTTGTTGTTAAGTGCCATTGAGTCAGTTCCAACTCACAGCTAACCTGTATAGGGTTTCCAAGGAGCAGCTGGTGGGTTTGAACTGCCAACCTTGCAGTTGGCAGCCCAGTGCTTATCTTACAGTGCTACGCCAGCACTCTGTATTAATGGGAAAGATTTTAGCTTTCCTTCTCTGACAGGCTTCTGCCTTACACAGGTTCCGTACGAACCCCTTCAAGTGCCTCCTTCCTTACTTGGAAGACAGTAGTAAATAAGTCAGACATATACCTTTCCAAATGAAAAACAACAACAAAACTAATAATTTAAAAATACTTTTTCAAATACCTAAGACCTTCATATATAACATATTGGTCTGGAAAATAATGCGTGGCTCATTGCCCTGGTGCATGGAGTTGTTGTTAAGTGCCATCAAGTCACTTTTGACTCACAGCAACTGTATAGGGTTTCCAAGGAGTGACAGGTTTGAATTGCTGACCTTGTGGTTGGTTATCAGTCCAGTGCACACAGACCATCAAAGTCCTCTTGCCCAGTAATTAAGTAACCTGGAACTTTTGTCATATAAGGTATTAGGTTTTCATCTCCTACACTACCACCCCTAAAGGAGCTCTGGGAGCGTAATGGTTACAAGTCGGGCTGCTAACCTCAAGGTCAGCGGTTTGAAACTACCAGTGGTTCTGTGGGAGAAAGATGAGGCTTTCTGCTCCCGTAAAGATTTATAGCCTCAGAAATCCTGTACCGGGAACGCTATGAGCCAGAACTGACTCCACGGCACGCTAGCACCACCACACCACCCCTAAGTAAATGGATCCATGACAAAAACATGTGGGCTTACATTTATCTGCTCCAGAATTATGTCAGAAAAGATAATAAAGTATTGAAGGCCATACATGTTTAGGTCTAAAACTCCCTAAGATATATGCTATTCACACTGGCCACATTAGAAATCAGTGCTTTTGAAAAACTACATTGGAAAGCACAGTCACCCACTGGATTGAAAAGTCCCTCTAAAGCACTGCTGAGCCTTACCTCAGGAACCCACTTACACTTTGTTCTTTCAGAACCATCAGCCTTCTTGCTCAGACCCTCTGAATTTGACCCAAATGAGAAAAATAGCTTCAACAAAGACCAACGTGCCACTAAATAACAGCAGTCCAAACTGTGATGCTCTCTAACAAAACGCCTGGTGAAAACCTACCCTTCAAAGTTATATAAACGAAGCTGAATCAGAGACAAGGATAAGAAGAAACGAGTCAAGTACTTTAACCTAATCAATGCGTTCAGATCCACATCTTAGATCTCTGCACACTTTACTAATAAGTAGAAGAGTTAACGAAAGGAACTTTCCCTTTGCTAAGGTAGCTTGTTGTTGTTGTTAAACTATGGGTCGAGTCGATTCTGACCCACAGCGACCCTGTATAGGTTTCCAAGGAGCAGCTAGTGAGCTTGAACTACCAACTTTGGAGTTCAAATGACTTTGCAGTCTGATGCATGAATTTAGCCTACAAAAATCTGATCTGACCTGCCAAGAATGGGTGTCTCAGGTGAAGCAACCAGTTAAAAACAACTGGGCATTGTTTTGGATAACAATGCCTTCTAGCTATATTCAACTACAATCTGTAAAACGAATCTCTGCAGCCCTCTACACTCTGCACGCTGTGTGTGTATCCTGTCCATCTCCCAACCCCCACCTAAATGTTAGTAAAACGAAAAAGCACTTATCTCCAGGAAACGCATGCGGGTTATCACAACAAGATGGAGGACATTTAATTAATCACACTTCCTTTGATATCAATGGCTGTCTATAGTCACACAGTGAACTGTGAATTCAATGAACACCAATCAGAACCTTCCCGAAATAAAACTTTTGTACAGTCGAGAGTTTTGATGATTGAAATATGAACATTTTAGGAAACCAGACCCAGGATAACTATTTATGATTTCATCCAAAAGTCTGCAACTTTAAAACTCACATTCTCCTAATAGTTGGTCACTCTGCATGCTCTGTGTATTTTTAGGGTCAAAGCATAAAAGATTTCCAATCATTTTGTGTAATTAAGTAATAAGAAAATGTTTTACTTACTTCTGGAAACCCTCACAAGTTCGGATACATTGAAGACTCCAGATTTTACAAAACTATCCTCAAGGTATCCTGAAAATAAACATCAAGGGGGAAAAGATCAGCATAAGCAGGAAACACAATCAATGATTAAACACTGGACTTGGCTGAAATGTGTTTAAATCAAAAGTCAAAGTAAAATGCTAGAATGCACACAAGAGCCAAGTAAAGGTGAAAATTCTTAAATGCAAACTGGGTCTGTTTAAACAAAAGCAAAAAGTTGAGATGCTAAATAATCTGATAAGGAATTCTTTCCCTAACTTTCCTAAGTCTACAGGATCATTTGTGTGGTTTTCTTGGCCATGTTGTCTGTGCGAAGAATGAAGTTGGGGGTGCTCATTGAATGCAGCCAGCTCAGTTGCACCTGGTAGACTAAAGTCCACCCATTTGGGAAAAAAGGAGAGCCACAACCACAATTAACACCTTGTTGGAAATACTTCAAAGAGCTCTTGAAACCACTGTTCTTTCACAAATCCTTCCCTGATTAAAGGAACGTAAGCTGCTGTTACCAGCACTCCCACCCAGGTTTGAGGGTCAAGAATCGCACAAAAACAGGACTTACACATACATCAAATACTTTTGCATCAACCTATTTCTATGAGCTTTCAATAAACCCCACAACATCCCAGTTTTCTCTCACATTTGCTACTATTCTCTTGGACTCTTCATTTCAAGAACTGGACACTTTTCCTGGCAAATGGCTGGAAATCCAGGCCTCTGTGAATGCACATGACCCTTATGTGACATCAAGGCATAGGGTCAGCAGTGGTGGTGGCGCACAGTTCTGGAGGCTGACTAAGTTCAGGCCCACTGGGTAACAGGCCCAGCAATGTCCAAGCCAAGAGATGAAGCCTCCCAGAAACACCAAGTCCCCCAGGCCCTCACCTACCTAAAGGAAGTTATGTTGGGTGTGTGTGTGTTGGGGCAGGGGGGGCCTACATTACAAAGATGGTATCTCTGTCTCACTGTCTGCCTCTGATGGAGAGAACTGGAAGATTATGACAATCCTTGGAGATGAAATACATTCATGTAGAAAACCCTAGTGTATAAGAATGGACAATTCAATCAGATTTCCATAAAGCTCTGGAGCTGACCAAGGAGTTAGTCAGTGCAGGGATAGGATGCTCAAGTCAGGACTGTGTTGAAGTCTAGCACAAACTCTTCACTTGCTGAGGAATCCTGACCACATTACTAGTTCTCTTTGGCCTCAGATTTCTCATCTACCAAGTTGTTTGTTGTTAAGTGCCTTACAGTTGGTTCCGATTCATAGCCACCCTATCTAGGCTTCCTGAGGAGCAGCTGTTAAGTATGAACTGCAGACCTTGGTGTTCAAACTAACCTTAGGGTCCAGTGCTTATCCTACAATGCCACACCAAGACTCCATCTATCAAATAGAGAGAATAAAATGATCTCCCTCCTGGAGTTTCTATAACTACTAAGATAGGAACATAAAACTCAAGGTAAGCACTAGTTAGATGTTCCCAATAAATTAAAATAGGCCAGCAGAGCCACAATTAGCCTGCCAAAATTAAATGCACTGGACTCCAGACCAAACCATAGTATTTGTACATTTTTACTGGGAAATCTTACTAGAACAAAAGTCACTGCATTGCTTTCTGATTGTACAAAGCATGAAAAGACAGAAAACCATTTAATTAGCGTAGCTCCTGTGAAATGAGGAACTTTGAATGTCTGAACTGTTTGCCACCCTCTTATGAAACACAATGCAAGAAAAAGTGACTGCGAACCATTAAGATTCCAGTTGGCAATAAAGCTTTGGTTTCCTATTAAGTCATTCCTCTAAAAAATATATACATACATTTTAAGAGGACAGAAGCAAGTGTCCCCAGATAACGCATCTCTATTTTAGGAAACCCCTATTTCTTGAGCAATTAAGTTTTCACCAGGCTGAATTCATTTCTGTAAGTGAGGAGCATTCCTTGTAAACCGCGCTATACACAAAACTGAGGGCCATAAATACAAAAATAGGGTATTGGTTCCTTTTCCGTCATTGAAGAAACACATTTTTAACTTTACGGGCCACTGTAGGCAATCACTGTTCCGAAGGCTTTTCTGTTGCTGCAGGGATCTTACTGTTTTTTTGAAAGTATATTTTGGTATACTTTATTTTATATAGAGAGTCCTGGTGTGGCGCTGTGGGTTAATGCGCCAAACTGCAAAGCTGTTTGAACTGCAAGGTCGGTGATTCAAGCTCACCAGCTGCTCCTCGGAAACCCTGTATAGGGTTGCTATAGGTTGGAATCAACTCAACAGCACTTAACAACAATTTTATATATGATAACCTTACTACGGTGGCAGTTATGTGTCGTGGAGTTGGTTCCGACTCATAGCGACCCTGCATAGGGCTTCCGAGGTTGCAAATCTTTACTGGAGCAGAAAGCCTCATCTTTTACCTGAGGAACAGCTGGTGATTTTGAACAGGTGACCTTGAGGTTAGCAGCCCGAACCACTACACTATCAGAGCTCCTTATTTGTAGACAAATCTCATCTGAAAATGGGGCTAATAATACTGTCTGCTCTGGTGTGGTAGGATACACACTGGACTGCTAACCTCATGGTCGGTGGTCCAAATCTACCAACTGCTCCTCAAAAATCCTATTCAGGGTCACTGTGAGTCAAAACCAGCTCAACGGCACTTAACAACAACAACTCCGAAGGGTCACTGTGAGGATGTAGTTGACACAGAGCCCTGAGAACACAGCTGGACGCGTAAAACAGAACAAAATAGCAAAAGTGAAGTCAGTAACTGCTCACTGGAAGCTATCTACTATTCTTCATCAAATACCAGATATTTGTTGATGAAGAGGAGGGTGAGCTAAGCAGTATATGGCCACTTGTGGTTCACACAACTAATTCCCATGGATCCTCACTGACGTTCTCTCAGGGGCCGGGACTGTGTTGTTCATTTAGCAACACATCAAGTGTATCACTTCCAGAAACTTGTATTCTAGGTGGGGAGATCAGATGTACCCAAAATGACCAATATAAGTAACTAGAAATATAAAAATCTATTTATCATGACTACAGCTAGAGTTCAACTTGAATTACATGGAGGCCAACTTGAATGCATACGGAATGAGATTGATATCCTTGTTGGGACGTCACGTCATGTCAAAGATCCCCTACAGAATGGCACGCCAGACCTCATCAAACTCAAGCATGCTGTCCTAGATGAAGCTGACCAGATGTTGGAAGTGGGCTTTGCTGATCAAGTGTAAGAAATTTTAAATGTGGATACAAAAAACTGATCAAAGGAGCCCGAAGAAGAGCAATCTTTTCATAGTTAAACCCTAAGAAATTAAGAGGGACTTATTTTATCTAAGAAAAAAAACGAGTTTAAAAAATTAACGTATAATTACAATAGGGAACATTTGGGAAAAGAAAAAGAAAAAAAATTAATATTTTACCAGCTTGAAGTATTTGATTTTGGTATATTTCTTTCCAACTCTGTAAATATTAATTATAATCTTACTATATATATAAAGATTCAGCATATAATCCATGAAGTGGCTGTACTGTGATTTAATTCAATCAACTGTCTGTCTATTGTCCTTCCCATTTTTACTCTATAAATTATTCTGCCTGTAGACATTTTTGGAGTCCTGGTGTGGTGCTGTAGGATAAGCACTGGACTATAAGGGCAATTTGAACCACAAGGTCAGCGGTTCAAACTCACCAGCTGTTCCTCAGAAACCCTATACAGGGTGGCTGAGTCGGAACTGGCTCACCAGCACTTAACAACACAGCTCATGTACATACTAAACCAATCAGAGAAAATTATTTGACACCACGATAAGGTACTCAACAAATGTCTGACCACTTATCTTTCTCATATACAGGGGCAGATTGCTCAATTAGTAAGGTAAGCACAGATTTATTTGTACTTACTAATCTGCAGTGAAAATTCCACATTGGTTTCACTACAAATTAAGGACAAGTAAGCCTGTGTTTACTTTGCTTACTGGTTACTCCATTTCCCTCAGGGAGTGTAAATTTGAAGAGACTTTGGTTCTGTAGGAAGGTGCTGTGGGGTTGGAAGAGAGACGGATGTCAGCCAGACCTTGACACAGAAGCTATGATGTGATGCAAGAAAATGAAATTTTCACCAGATTACTAAGTAAACACAAGTAATCCCATGCTTACCCTGCTTATTAAGTAATCCAACACTGCTGATGCCACTCCCTCCGAGTGCATGTCCACTCTCATCCTTATGTGTTTAGCCCAACCACTGCCCACTTTCTCGGCCTGACCCAGCCATACCACCCCTTTCCTCTCACACTGCTTCTACTTACTATAGAGCACTTTGCACATCCAGGTTCTCCAATCTATCTGCTTTCGAATCCTGGTTCCCCTACCGGATTATCAGCTCATTTATTTAGGGGAGGGCATTTTGTTCATCTCTGTGCCTCCCATTAACAAGTAACTCAGTGTCCTCTGTAAAGCAAGCACTAAATAAACAAAGTTGTTGTTGTTAAGTACCATTGAGTCCATTTAATTGGTTTTGACTCATAGAGACCCTGTATAGGGCTTCTGGGGAGCCACTGGTAAGCCTGAACAGCCAACCTTGTAGTTCAAACCAACCACGCAGTTAAACACTAGGCCACAAATGAACAGATGAGTCATTTTGTAACAGGAAAGATGTTGTTGGGTGCCATTGAGTTGCTTCCCCTCATAGTGACCTCAGAGGCAGCAGAACAACACACTAACTAGTCCTGTGTCCTCTTCATAATCTCTGGGTTTGAGCCCAGTGTTGCTGCCTATGTGTCAATTTCTCTTTTTCACGGACCCCTGACTTCACCAAGCACTTTACCAAGCAGGTTAGATATCAATGGTTTAAGATACCATGCAAGTTTGATATCAACATTTTGATATTGAAAGAGAACTACAGATCCATGTTATTCCCAGGAATTCATTGATAAGGAGTTTAGGCTTTGGGTAGGATGGGAAGGAAGAATGGTTGGACTAGATTCTACCCCTGATGCTATTGTACACTAATGGGTAGTCTTAGACAT